TTGTGGAATTGCACGCATTTTAGGCATCCTACTGGTGAACAGTTGCGACACATAGATATATATTTTTGAGCAACTAAGATAATTTGCAGTCTGTCTACTTTGAATTGATTTGTATGAACACAAAATTCACCAGCTCCCAACATCGGTGGCTTCATAGCTCAGTTGGTTAGAGCATCAAACAAGTATCACGAGGTCACGGGTTCAAACCCTGTTGAAGTCCTAAATTTTTTTCAGGCTTTTTATGCAATTGCATAAATTGTGTTCACAACTGCAAGGATAATTCTTCATTTGGTTTTATTTCTGCAGTTCTTATATACATTTACAACGTTCATCTCTTTCACAAGAACATATGAAAACACAATTAACTAGCTCCCATATCAGTGCCTTCAAAGCTCAGTTGGTTAGAGCATCGCACAGGTATCCTGAGGGCCTGAATTCTTTTCGGGCTTCTTTAATAAGAAATTGCATAAATTACATTCACAACTGCAAGGATCATTCCTTATTTGAAATTACAGGTCAAGCATACCCCCCAAGATTCCATTAATGAATTTATTATTCAAAAGTTGAATTTGTTGGTAGTTGTAGATTTCAGATTCATCTCACCCCTGCATTCTTGCATGCATAATGAGCTGTGAATTCACACGTTACACAGTTATGAAATTTCTCCTAGCTCAGTTTCCCTGAATTCGATGTAAATGTCAGAGAGAGTTCTTGTAAAATATTCACTGCTCATTACGTATGCAGGAATGCCGTTTTGAATTTGATAAAGTTAAGGGAACGACTAACCACAGGCATCCCACGCTCTTGTTATGAGTGTGTTACGTAAATTAACTTTCTCACAAGAGAGTCAGTGTCGTGTACTGTTACAAGCAACCGTTGAGACTTTGTATGAGAAAAAAAATACTGAGGTCTGCAAATGCTAAACATAATTATTCTTACTTATTTTTCTATAAACTAAATAAAGGAGACTAAGCTTTGATGTATTCCTGTGTTTTTTGGTGTGAATTCATTGATTAAGTCAGTTTTTTTGGCTGTTATTGTTTGACCCCTGTCACTCTATTCATAATACGAAGTAAAAAACACAGAAAAACAGCTGGCAGTTCGGACCTTGTCTACTCGAAGGTGGTTTGCGGCCCAAAAACCCATCGAATCGCAGATTTTTTTAACCAGAGGTAAACTTCTACCATCGCTGCACTGCAGTAAACATTTAAAAGCGAAATATCCCCACACTTGTTGTTGGAAATGAAAATTTCCTCGAGCCATGTCCAAAATACCTTCTTTCTCCAGACACTGTGATATGGCAACTGAACACGGGGTGTTGGCTCTAAGGTCAAATTTCCAGTCACAAAGGAGGAGAATCGTATTCAAAAACGAGGTGGAAACCTTGAAATAAACAATATAAAATGGAATATGTTTTAAGGGAAATTTCTACAATTCTATACCTTCAGGGCTGTGCTCTAGCAGAGCCCAGTGGCCCCCGGCACCTAACTTTTGCCCTTGGGTGACTAGAAAAACACAGATTTTTCATACAAATCATATGCTGGGCACCCTAGATTTTACAGTTTCAGAGCACTGGGCTCCCTTCAGTTTTCCTTAGAGCACAGCCTTGACCTTTGTTATTAAATTAGTTTATATTTCAGAATACATTCAACCTTACATGTATCTCTAGCAAGTACCTTTCTTTAACTATACATGTGGCCAAAGTAAGAACAAATAAACTATAACTGAAATGATTAAGTAATTCTGCACAATAAATCCGTATGTAATGATTGGCTTGGTTCTGACACAAGTCAGGCAGTATTATGCAAGGGTTTCAATAAGCACCGACGAATGACAAAATGCGTCGGCATCTTTGCTTTGTCTCAAAAGGCCACAATGTTTACAAACGGCAGCACTAAAAGACGGAGTCCGGAATCTGGAATCCGGAATCACGGAAAAGGAATCACGGAAATGGAAACAGAAATGGAATACGGAATCTGTGAAAGAAGGTTCCAAGCGATCGATTTGAAAAAAATATTAGCAATGACAATAAAATAAATAAACAGATAAAAAAGACACCCATGAATAAATTTGCTGAGTAGAGGAGAGGAGACTGCTGTATCACCAGAGGAGTCGATTCTGGTGAAAAGACGCTTGATACCACTATCGGCAATGAATGCAAATTCTCATGGGACAGCAAAGTGAGGAGAAAAACGTTCCTGACAAAAACTAGTGCCTTAAGAAAAAGGTAAGTTATATGGAGACAGACTTCGTTTGAATCGTCGAGGCGTTGTTTACATAACTGAAACGCCTCGCCGTCAAGTTTTTCTTAGTGTCTTTTTTGGGTTGTCTTCAACATTGTTCAGTTTTATTTATCAAGACAACTTACTCAAGAGAACCATGGCATTGTGGAGTTCAAAGAGAAGAGAGAATTGTGCATGCATTTGCTTGATTCCGCAACCGAATAAAATCAAAATAATGCACCATGTTTAATAAGCTTCTTCAACAAAAATACGGACATCCACGTGAACTCAATTACCGGTACACCAGTCTTCCATCAGTATTTAGCTTGGCGAAAAAGTTGAAGTTATTGCTAAAACACTGAAACTATGGTCACGTCACCGGTCGGTCATGTGTGGAGTATTCAGTTTGGAGACAATCACGTGGTGTGGTCTGAGGCTAACTACTACTATTCTTAACAGTTAGCTACAAAAGTAATATTTAACTGTATTCAACCCATGAACTTGTGAATAAAAATTACCTGTAACATTACTTTCATCAGCCTTGCAGTGCAGTAACCCACACCACAGCAAACCTTATCAAGACACAATAACAAGGATATATTTAAGGGAACTGCCAAGAAAGCTAAAACAATTTCTCCTTGGATTGTACTAAATTGTGTAATGTGAAATTCTTTAATTTTCTGTCATTGATATTTGATTCCGTATTCCGTTTCTGTTTCCATTTCCGTTTCCGTTTCCATGATTCCATGATTCCGTTTCCGTTACCGGATTCCGGATTCCGTGCTTTAGTGCTGCCGGTTTACAAAGGCTTTCGTGAGAGAAAAGATATAAAATCAATCCTACCTCATTAACTGAATGAAATTCTGCTAGCAATCGAGGAAAGTATTGCAAAGACTGCACTTCTCCTAGTCGTAATCGATGCGGTATTTAAGACCCCAAGAATTTTTCCATGAGGACTGGTAAATCCAGCACCCGGCTCGCGCCGCAAGGTAAATTGAAATTTGTTCACTGCGATTTTGAATCTATTGAAGCCATGCGATCTGAGAAACACTACAGGACATGTCTCTGCAACTTGATACTGTTGCGGTTTCTCGTGGTCTAAAACAAGCCAAAATAGGCCAAGCCGTTCTCGCCTAAGCCTCAAGATCTTCCCTGTGTTTTATCTTGGCTAAAAGTCATCAAAATTTCCCCCAGAACCACTCGTTGAAAAGCTTCTTTGGCCGCCATTTTTTCCGGAAATACTTTCAGTCAGCGGCTTCTGATGGAGCACAAACAACCTTGAATTTCGCTACTCAATGTGTCCTAAACTAATGAGCCCGACAACTTTAAAACAGGCAGAAATCCTGCGTTACAGAATAAATGTATATCTCACGAAATTCGATGTCCGAGATTTGCTTGCTTGCACACCACCTACCAGATTACCACTCAGTCGGATTTTAGGATCTGTCCATTGGCATGTTTGGGTTTCACAGTTTGTCCAATCGCCGAGATTTACCAATCCTGTATCGAACATTACAATGTAAGATCAGTAAGATTCATAGCGCGCAACTTTTTAGACAATTTCATCTATTACTAATTAAGTAATAGAATCCGATATCTTGATTATTAGGGGACAGACTTTATTGCGCCAAGGATTCACGCGAAGGAGCTGATGACACTCAGGCTGATTCAGGTACCACAGGTAGCCCAAGCTCGAAATATGAGCATCGGCATTGTTGCGTAACTGATTCAAAACATAAGGATTTGTATGGCGAAAAAACCTATCGTTTCTGTAACCTACGAAAATGAAAGGATTTCAATAAAAAACAGCTTACCTTACTTCATGTGTGTTACGTCTCTCCTGTGTGATCCACGGGCCGATTTATGGCCGTTTTATGGGTTTTTATGTAAACGGTTTTCAGCTGGGTTTTCTCTCTATATAAGGTAAACCTTTATATAGAGCGATATTAGCACTTCAGTGCTACACTGTAAATTCGAGGGTAAATAAAGTTTATTGATTGATTGATTTGATTGACGTAACACACATTTTAAGTAAGGTAAGTTGTTTTTTATTGAAATCCTTTCATTTTCGTTGGTTACAGAAACGATAGGTTTTTTTTCCCATACAAATCCTTATATTTTGAATGTTACGCAACATTGCCGCTGCTCGTTGATGCTCATATTTCGAGCCTGGGCTACTTGTGGTTGTACAAGTGCAATTATAAAATTTGGCTTCTATGGTGGCTTTAGGAACAGCATTCACGAACTGTTGAATAGAACACGGTTGATGATTGGCTAAAATACTGCTAAAAATACATCTTCATGTCAGAAAACTACCTGTCCAATCATCAAGCTTATTGCACCACAACAAGAAATCCAAGATGGCGGATAACAATGTAAATAAAGCAAGCAAAATTTTTATATTTGCCGGTCTTTTTCCGAGTTTAAACTCAGCCACGGAGGAAAACCATGGGTTGGAAAGAGAACGGAAAGTTTGGAGTGACATCTGGGCGAACAGTTCGTTCGCCTTTCGCAAGTTCACCAAACTGCTTCCGTGGCGAAGAGATGGTCCTGAAATTTACCAGGGGAACAGGAAACTTATCCGGCGATGCATTGCAAGATTTCCTGAAGGAGAACGATATAGACGATGGTCTTGGAGATTTCAATGAGTTTACAACCAGGTTAATGAGAGTTCAAGGTGTCGACCGCTCCTGCGATGTTCCTTACTCCCTCAAAAAACGAAAACGATGGCAACTAGAAGAGAATGTAAAACGAATTGAAGATACCAAGCAAACTGCTCCTAATGTGACTTTTATTCACCGACGAGTGGACAGAAACCTCACAGCAGATTGCTTTCAAGTAGTAAGAGCTAAGGCAGGCGAAGTTTTGCAGCCCATAAGACGAAAATATGCAAAGGCACAAGATTTGCTTAAGAGATCTGACAAGGCTGAACTGGAACCAGAGGTTTGCTACGAGATGACGTATCGTTATCCAAGGAATGAGTATCCACAGTGTAAAGAAGTCCAACACAGGTGGAGATATTACTCAGGTGGGTTTGATGCTGTCCCTGGCAAGGCATTGTGCAAGAGCAAGAGTGTGAAGAACAAAGGGCGTCGTTGGGGTCTGTACTCTGATGCTGACCTTAGAAGTGGACACATAACAGAAAAGAAACCAGTACTGCAGCAGTACTCACAGAAAAACACTCCAGGTGGAAAAGTCCAAGTCATTGATTCTTCTGAGTTTCGTAAATGTGATGATTTTGAAGAGAGTTCTCCCTTTTGTGGAACATTGGATCTTGGATTGTACATGTTGGAAAGCTCGAAAACTCTGAGGAAACAAACCAAGAAGAACAAGCACAATCCCGATCTGACACTTAGAACTATAAAGGATGGCTCACTGAGACATAACTTAAAGTATGGAAAGAACAGTGTAGTGTACATCGAACAAGAGCCAGAGGAAAAGTCTTCTGCAGACTTGAGCTCCTCTGCCACTGAAAAGAAAACCGAGGCACCAACATGCCCAATGTTTCAACCAGAGAACAAGACACTTGCTACAGTTCCTGTGTATGTCAGTGACCTGAAACCCAACAGTCTTGAAGAAAAGTGGGGTTCTTTGTACTCTGAAGCAAACAGCTTTCCAAGGAAGTTCACTATTGATTTAATGCCTGCACTTTATGAAAGAAACAATGAGAATATTGAGTTTTGCTTTGTCTTGTTTGAAGTGATTAGGGAAGCCAGCAGTGCAATGGTCTCTGTGGAAACCAATGTTAGTCTGAACATTGTAGAAGCTGAAGACTCAGACACTTTAATCTGCGGGGCCAATGGAAAGTTCTGCTCTGGATTACAAACACATGGTATTCAAGAGGCCTGGAGAGTACAATATGTGGTTGACTGAGCACTAGAGTGCTTACATTCTCTCATGCCTTCTCTACAGCTCCCAACTAGAAAAACAACAAGCCATTGCCAGAAAACATGGAGGTCTCTTCAAGTGCTAGGTGATTTGTTTGGATGGAAATCTGAGCTTTTTACGCCTAAGCAGATGAAAACAGAGTTGCTCAAGAAGATAAAAAAGCGTGAGAAAAGTTTTCTCCATAAGAATGACACTGATTACTGTATTCAGCCTGATGATTTCAACACTACAGTAGAAACACTAGGGATTTCTGATTGTGGAATATGCTGCAATGAACTGGGTGAGTAACTTTATTTAGTTTGATCAACTAAATTTTGCTGAATGAGTGCTTACTGCTGTACCCTGCATGCCTTGGGAAAGCTTGAAAAAGGAAAGGAACGCATATGTAGTATTTACCTGTGCAGGTTCAAGTTATGTAATCAAAATAAATCCTTTGAGCCTTCATAACTCGATGACAATGGGATTGGGAAATCAAAATAAATTTAAGACACATATGTCTTTTTAAGGACATGGTTCGGCATGACCAGGGAAAGGGGGGGGGGGGTAAAAATGCATGTTTGGCCTTTAAAATGGGGTTTAAAAGGGTAAGGGGGTGGAACTTGGGGGATAATCCTTTGTTCTTTAC